CTCCGACGAAACAGTTTGTCACAGCCCCTCGTTTGTTGTCCTCTTCTCTCTCTCTGCGTACGGTTTACCGGGCAGTTCTGTTTGTGACGATATATGTGAGGATTGAGCCCTCCTTGCATATATATATTGTGACAATATATATATCGTCATAGGATCTGGCGACCGAATAGAACTGTGGAGACCGAATAGAACGCATGTGCATAAGGCCAGTGGGATGCGTCGCATCGTTTTTCCATGGCTATTGTCCAAGCGCATCTTTTTTTCTTTCTTGCCTTTATTAAAAAACAGGGAAAGAAAAGGAAAAAAGGAGGGAAAAAAAAAAGAAAACAAAGAAGGAAAAAGAAAAGGAAAAGAAATGAAAAGAAAAGACAGGCTTCGAACCCTCGATCGAAACTCATCTCACGGGTATTTTTTCCTTGTTTGCACCTATTACCCAAAAAAATAAAAAAAATAAAATAAAAATTGAAGACCGGTTGTTGTATTCGGTCGGTATAGTTTGAACTGTTTCTCCTTTTATTTTCTCTTTTTCTTTGAGTGTTGGCTTTTGTTTTTTTCCAACTCGTTTATCCTGAAGAGTGTGCCTTGCTTTGGGCTATCCTAACGGCCGGGTCCAGGTGCCGATTCAGATCGATGGATCAGGTCCAAGGCTAGGGCCAGGTTCGCTGACTCATATAATCTTGGCTGCTGCTGGTATTTTATCTTCTTCTTGTAGAAGCATTGGAATAGATCAGGCAACTTACGACTGTCCACCGAATAGAACGCAGGTGACTGGCCACCGAATAGAAGGCAGGGGCAAAAGGCAGTAGAATGCGTCCGTCTGCAACCTAAGCCTCTCTCCTCCTCTCACCCTCCTCTCTCCCTCCTCTCTCTCTCCTCCTCTCTCCCTCCCCTCTCTCTCTCTCTCTCTGTCTGCTCTCTTTTGTTACTTTCTGCTCTTCCTCCCTGTGGATGGGTGGCGAGTGAAGTCGGGAAAGGGAGGCGCATCCCTTACGTAACTTCTCACCTTGATGGATCAACCCATCACTGCTACACACTCGCACAGTCATGACTTCTTTTGTGGACTTGTGTATGACGAACATAACACACACACACGCACACACACACACACACACACACACACACACACACACACACACACACAAACTGTTGTGGTGAAAGTTCAAACACAAACAGAGGCAGCCATGCACAGACACACATCCCGCTGAGATGGCGTGGGTCTGCCGTTCGCAGTTTGTAATAAGGCATGCTGTGAGGAAAGCAAGGCGTGCTCTTGAGGGGAGCATGGTAGGCGAAGAACATCGACGGACGTTTAGCTCCAAATGACGCTTAGGGGGGGACATGGGAAGAAATGCAAACAGGAAAAGAAGGAAAAATGAAAAAGGACTGTGGCACGGGAAAAAAACTTGGGATGCACGGCATGGCCGCATTTGAAGATCTGTTTTCGTGTAGCAGCAGATTTGGATGCACGACATGACCGCCGGCTGCCTGGACAGCCGCGAACCTATCCTGCCGTTGTCGCCCGTCGAGGTTGGGGGGGGATGTATTTGGTCGGCGGGGCCGTCGGAATACAAGGCCGTTACGGTAAAAATAATGCTCATGCGTTCTTTTCGGGGAAGAGGTCGCCGTTCGCCGGGGTGAACCGTTTGACGAAGTGCTACCGTCTGTCCCCCGAATAGAACGGATGCGCAGTAGTTACATGGTTGATGCCTGCTGTTATTACTACTATGCGTTCTATTTGGGGGTAAAGCATCTTGCCCCGATAGAGCGCGCATGAGCGTCGCTCATGTCACTGCACCTGACCGGAAACCTGCTGTCGATGCATGCATGTGATGCCTGCCTGTACTCCGCGTTGTTTATACGGGTATGGAAACCGTAACAAGATCACCAATGGCTGGGAAAGTCTATTTAGCCCCACGGTCGCTGATTGACTCTCAGGTCAGGAACCTAGATCCTCTGACAGCCTCTGCCGTGACAGTCTCTAGAGAATCGCTGCAAACCCACTCGGTCTGTAGTCACATATGCATGTGTACATATATCTGTATGTATAGACATTGTCACGTTTCTGTCTATATGTACCTCTATGTATGGGTTCAGCCTCCTGATGAGTCGGTGAAACTCCGACGAAACAGTTTGTCACAGCCCCTCGTTTGTTGTCCTCTTCTCTCTCTCTGCCTACGGTTTACCGGGCAGTTCTGTTTGTGACGATATATATATATCGTCACAAACAGAACTGCCCGGTAAACCGTAGGCAGAGATATATACATATATATATCGTCACAAACAGAACTGCCCGGTAAACCGTAGGCAGAGAGAGAGAAGAGGACAACAAACGAGGGGCTGTGACAAACTATATTGCAAGCATGAACGGAGAAGGGAGATGGATTATGGGCCTCGCTCCACCATTCACCGAATGTGCAAAATGGGAATGAATCTTTCCACTAGAACATTGAAAGATGTACCGCTATAATGTTTTGTCGTTTGTGCATGTGTGGAGTGGTCGAGCGAGGCCCTACCCGTGACCATGTAGCAGTCGCCGCAATTGGCACAGGTTAGGCGCAACTGGAGATAGGGTCTGGGTGGGGTGTCCCTTTGTATTGGTTTTGTTTTCTCTTGCTTTTGGAAGGTAAAGTGCTTGCTTGTGTTTTTTTTTTTTTTTTTTTTTTTTTTTTTTGTTTTCGGGCCAGTGGTGGATCCTAATCAAGTATGATTGTCTTCRCTTTTGGAGTTCAACCCGCGCGGCTAGGACTGTCTTCGCTTCTTTGTGAACATAGGAGTTGGCCGTTGGGGACGAGGAAGAGAATGACAGGGGGGCCGGTGGGGGTTGGGTTGGGGGGGGGGGGGGGGGGAAGAGAGAATGGCGCGAAGGGGGGGGAATTCAAGTGGATCTCTCCGGTGCTGCCCCTAGAGTGAGTACAAACTATGACACCGTATTTTGTCGAATACAGCGCGTGGGTTTCCTGTTAGGAGTGAATACAAAAGAGCTTTCTGGTCCGATACTTACACTGGTGGGAGTCATACTACCCGCGGGGGCGTTCTATCTGGGTAATAAGGATGCTCTTGGGGGAGGGAAGTGGGAAGGGAGGGGGGGGGTTAGCTGATTGACCCTCTCGTTGCGGAACTCGAACTATGGTAATCCTTCTCGAATCGAATCTAATCGTATCTAATCGTATCTAATCGAATCTAATCGTATCTAATCGAATCTAATCGAATCTAATGTGGAGTAGACAACGGTTCGAATCCCGTGTCGGCAACACAGAGACAGAGTTAGTCAGTCCTCAAAGCATCTTCTGTCGTCGTCCGTGAGGACACCTCCTCCCTCCAGATTCCACCTCCTCCTTGAAGAGACCTCCTCCTCGTCCTTAGGGATAACTAATCCATTGAGAGTGCTGATGATGTGGGGGGGGAAACAGAAAAAAAGAGAACGTTGATGATATGATATGATATGTATGTTGTGCGCTCGTAGCTGTCGATGACAAGCAATGGCGACACCTACCGTCTTCACGGGAATACAACGTACCCTCACGATGAATGTATAGGAGGTATCTTTCCGGTCCGATACAGTCAAGATGAGGGTACGCTTTGAAGGGCGCAAGCGTAGCGGTGCTGCTCCCCCACGAACAGAATACTATGCAGTGCAGTCTTTTGTTAAAAAAAAAAAAAAAAAAACACCTGAATCTGGTCATTGCAAATAATAATGCTTAATGACTTCGATTTAAAAAAAAAAGAAAAAAAAAGAGAGCTTGAAGCTGGGGTCCTCACAGTCTACCCGGAGTGAAACGATCACGGGGCAGTGTGTATTTCACAATGCTTCACTAGTTTTGCGATTACGAATATTAATGCTAATATTGTTAGTATTATTTTTGTGGTATTGTTGTAAATTTTATGATCAATATTATTACTATTACTGTATATTGCTGTATTATTTATTACATTATTTTATCTATATTATCATGTATATTATGTAATAGTCTGTCATGTATTATTATTATTGTTGTTATTGTTAATATAGTAATAAGTTATAAATTATTATTATGTTGTATTTTGTACTATATTATGATATATTAGTCTGCAGTATAGCATTATTATTATTATTGTTCTTGTTAATGTACTAATTTTATTGCAATTATAAATTGTTATTGTTATTATTATATTGTATTTGATCATTTATATTTTGCAGTGATGGTTATCGATCTGTTCGGCCCAAGTAGTCCACACGCGCATAAGAACGCTCATGCGAGCACTCAATGAATGCTCCCGCGTTCTATTCGAGCTGTTAGACGATGATGGCAGCGGTCGTAATAGAGGGCACTATTCTAGGTAGCGGGAGTTGTTGAAAGATATCATCCACTCTCTCTCTCTCTCTCTCTCTCTCTCTCTCTCTCTCTCTCTCTCTCTCTCTCTCCTTCTCTGTTTTTCTTTCCGTTTGCTCGGCGGTGGTCGCGGCTATCGAAGCAGCCTGTTTGGAAATAGAGGCCTTGTCAGAAGGCGGGTGGTTAGACCGTGCCAGAGTGAGGATTCTTTTTTTTTGTTGGGGGGGGAGGTAGGGGGTTGTTGTTGTTGTTAAAGTGAGAGTGATGATGTTATCGTCTGTCAAACGGTTTTTGGCACGGTTATTATCTCAGCCACCTTTTTCTTCCTCCTCGTTTTTCTTTTGTGGAAATAGCCGCCCCTAAGATCGCTGTATGCGCAAGGATTTGAACGTTGAGGTTTTAACGGTCCCATGCGTGTACCATTGAGCCGCATGGCAGGGAATGCCTCATCCACTTTTCTTTCGTTGTTGCCCCTTCCGCTTCTCTTTTTTTTTCTCTTTTTTTTTTTTTTTTTTTTCCCTTTCTCTCATCGACTTTCATTTGGTCTTGTGAAGGACTTCGAATAGCGACGAGGACACCGTAGTTATCACTTAACTTCTTTTTATTTTATTTGTAATGTTTGGAATCAGAATTGGTGGTCGCTGCACGGCTGACTGGATTCGCTGTTCAGCTTTTACGCTGGAGGGCGTGGCACATCCCCCCGACCTATATGGTGAAAGCATTCATGAAGATACGAAACGCATGACACATGGAACCGTAACACATCAAGAAGGAACATGAAGGTTTTATCAAAGAGAGTGCGACAAAGAAATTTGATTGCTCGTTAGCTTACACTGTGAAGCCCGACAGAGGGTGGACGAATTGATTGGAGAGGTAATTAGTACGGCAAGGCAAGCGCAAGGCAGCTCTTAGATGATGCCGAGGATGGAAAAAAGAATTAGCAGCATTAGCAGCAGCGGCAATCACGGTGGTGATAGAAGGGAGCGGGAAGGCGATTGCAGGGGGAGGAAGGTGGCGAGGAGTGGGAGGAGGAAGGGGGAAGGAGGGGGAGGAGGAAGGGCAGGAAGAGGAGGAGGACGAAGAGGAGGTATAAACGTGAGTTAGGGAGCGCAATGATGATCGTAATAGAAGGGAGCGGGAGGGTGCTTGCAGTGCGAGGAGGACGATGGAGAGGAAGTGGATGGGGGAGGAGGTATAAACCGCGGGGGGGAGGAGGGAGGGTAAGAGAAAGGGAAGGAAGAAGGGAAAGTGTAAGAGACGGATGGAGAGGAGGACGAGGACGAGGAGGAGCAGGGCAAAAGGTCGCAGAGGTAGACAAAGGGGATAAGATGGAGCAAGATTGTGTGTTAGGAGCAGAAGAAGAAGAAAAAGAAAGTGCGATCAGTCAGAAAAGAAGCACAAGCAGCAGTTGGCGGATTGAAAGGAGGATTCTATCCTTTCCCTCTCGCCCAGGAAACGGGCAAGGAGGATGAGGAGGGGGAGTGAGATGGAGCAATCTATATGTGGGGGCAGAGGAAAAGGGTGGATGATTTGGAAAGGAAGCACTAGCAATTGACGGACAAAGGAGGGTTTCCCCCTTTTTGGTCCCCTTGCCCTCCTTCCTCCTCCCCTTTCGGCCCCCTCCTCTTCCCCAAAGATTCTAGGCTGTTGCTGACAGTAATGGCGACGTTTTCTGGCAACCGCTGCCAGCTCTCTGTGTTTCGAGCAGTCCCTGTCTTTTGTATGTTCTTTTCTTTGTTAATTTATGTAACGGCTCCATGTCTTATTGCATGCAGATGTTATTCAGGTCTCGAAAGAGAATGGAAATTTGTTGCTGCAAAATGTGTGCTGAATAGAAATGAAGCATTCAGACTACTGTCTTCACCCGAATAGAACCGCCGGTCATTATAGCCGAATTTGGGGCAACTTTCAGAGCAGATGCAGCTATAATGACCGGGCGGTCTATTCGGGTGACGACGGTAGTAAAGAGGGAAGAAAAGAGGGGAAGGTGTACAAATGCCCCGTGCAAAAAGCTAGCCCACCAGGAGAGGGCGTGCGGGTGTGCAGAGGCCCGGGGTGCATACTGGCTGGGTTAACTGTTTGTTCTTTCAAGGTGCTATTTCTGTCGTTCCTGCAAGACAGAATAAGAAAGATGGCAGCACATAGCATGCTGACAAGGAGTAGAGCGGCTGTCAGGAGAAGTGGAAGTGTATTGGCCAAGGAGTAGAGTGACTGTGAGGAGAAGTGGAAGTGTATTGGCAGAGGGGTGGTTGAGAGCCCTGTAGTTGTGTTGGCAGAAGGGCAGTCGAAAGTGCGGTAGCACTGTTCATCCGAAGTCTTCGGAGTATCACATTTTTTATTGTAGACATTGCCCGGGAAAGGTAGAGGTGGTTTAGAGTTTAAACCACTAGTGCATGTCCCAGGTATTTCGTTCAGATGCAGCGGTTAGCCCACCGCCGGCAAAATTGCAGGCGAGGCCCCCTATCGGACGGAAAAAGGCGGGCATAGCCTGGCAAATCTTGTGCCGCTCTGGTTAGGCAGGAATGGGCACATGGCAGAAATCTGCATCAGCAAAAAGAGGTTGCAGAGGACTGGTGGTTTACACCACCACTGCTGCTTGCCCGATTCCGCTAGTAGAGTTGGTTA